TTCAGCACTTTGAGGATGTGGTTTCATTATCTTCTGGCATCCAGAGATGGGAAAGTTGATATCAAAATAATTCTTGGTCCTTGTGGTTTTAAGAATTTTCTCTTTGTTCTTAATGATGTTCTTGGTATTTCACTGCATTGTGGATATTTTAAAATTGTTCTTGGTATTTCACTGCATTGTGGATATTTTAAAATTGTTCATTTAAAATGTATCCTGTTCATCAGCAGATTTTTCTGTCTGGGGACTTGTATCTTGCTTCAGTTTCAGGAAACTCTCAGCCATTATCTCCTCAGGTCCCCCTGTCCCAGTCTCTTCTTCTGGACTCCTATTAGGCTAATACTGATGCCTTAGGAGCTAGTCTCCATGTTTCTAAAATTGTTTGAATAAGTAATAAATTCACATGGTTCAAACATGAAATATCATAAAAATGTGTAGAGCAAAAATTTCCTCCTACCCTTTTTCCCCTTTTGCTTAGTTCCTGTCCCTCAAACTCTACAAGTAATATGCACATATTGTTATATACACATAGGCAGGCCATAAATAACAACAAACAAACAAAATTCTGCTAATAATATTGTCTGGTTAACTTAATATACAATTTCCTCTTGGTCTGTTTTCACTTCCCAACAGGCAGCAAAATAATGCACAACCATGATCTTACCTACGAGACAGTATATCTACACTTGGGGATTTTAATCAAAGGTAACTGGGAATCTAGAGAATGTTTTGGAGAAAAGTAAATAGAACTTAGTCTGGGACTCTAAAGAAGATGAAACAATTTCTTGGTTGATTCAGCAGAATCTACATGGTTGCACTGAATGTAACGTAAATAACTTGGCCCGTCCCCACACTGAGTAGCTGCAGCTATGTCAGCCCTGGTGAGCTGCTGCCAGTCAAGAAGACGAGCAGTCCCTCTATCTGGGGCTCCATAGTATACTTTTAGCTAATAATAGCCCTGGGGTAGTGTGGATAACCTATCTGCTCAGCACAAGTCCGGCAGGCACCACAGAATTTCCTGCCATGTGTTCTGTGTCCCATTCTCTATCGAAATCCAGAGTAGTCCTCTTCTCTGGGTTCCACACCAACATTCAAATGTTAAACTTCGAGCCAGTTAGCCAGAAGGTATGAGTGCCCGCTAGCCAGAAGGTATGAGTGCCCCCCACCCCCGCCATGTAAAAATGGCTTGGCAGAGGCACCTGGCCTCTAGCAACTTCTTGAGGGGAAAGGAGACTCAACATCGACAGCCCAAGGCTGATTCCTATGAGGCAGAGGTCAGACATGCCTCCTTTCTCCGCCATCTTTACCAATTCTGACACCAACCTCCCTCCCACAGCACTCTCTACTTCTCTCCTGGGTTCAGTAACTCATTGCAATTGCCACACAGAACTCACAGACAATACTCACGATCCTGGGGTTTATTAGGGAAGTAACAGGTTACAATTCAGGTTCAGGAA